ATCGGTTCTCATGAACACGCAAAACTCGCAAACTTTAGTATGTCTCGCGGTTTCCTTGAAGTTTCAAGGGGTATCCCTGAAGCATTCGAACATATCAGATATAAGGCCCCGGAAAGAATAATAAACTCGTCTTATAAATATGACTCTAGGTGTGAAATTTTTAGGTAATTATTGTTATTGACACTTGAAAATTCTACGTGTTCCGTAACCAATCAATTATTGTTATTGACACTTGAAAATTCTACGTGTTCCGTAACCAATCAATAATTCTTTTTTTTTCTAAAGTTTCGGTATGTTGCTTTGGGAGATTGCTGAAGAAAAATTGCCATTTTTTAATGTCGAAAATACCGAAATAAAGAAAAAAATATTGGAAAATCCGATTTTACTTTCATTTGAAAGGGGCGTTCCTGAAAAATGGAAGAAGCTTGTTTTTAAAGGTAGATGCATGCATGCATGCTAGAATTATTCCATGATGGAATGTCCATTGACAAAAGAATATATTATCGTTTGTAGCTATCGATCATGATCCGAGTAAACGTCCCGATTTCAAAAAAATGCTCATGAAACTTAGGAACCTAACCCAAGAGAAAAAAGCTGCCAAGGACTCAAAAACCACTTCAGTATCCGCCGTTCAAAAATTATACATCAGAAATGTAATGTCCTTGGAGATTGCGATCGAACAACATAACCGAAAGGGTGGTAAAAAATACGAGGCTTGGAAATCATTCGAATTTTATGCTAAATTAGGTGACACAACGGCAAAATTCTACAAGGCGTACTATCTCTTAAACGGTCTCCTCCCTTTTCCTTATACGACAAAGGATCGACTTGAACAGGCTATAAAATTGCTTGAAGAAGTTGTTAAAGAAGGAAATGTGACGGATGCTCAATTAACATATGCAAATTGTTTGTTAAGTGGCTATGGTGTAGAAAAAAATGCTGAATTGGCACACAAGTATTTTTGCGAAGCGGCTGATAAAGGCGAGGCCGTAGCAATGTATAATGTCGGAATAATGTATTATAAAGGCATCAGTGTTAAAAGGGATGTAGCCGAAGGCATATATTGGATCAAACGTGCTGCCTATGGTGGTATTCCTGCTGCGGTCCAATTTTGTAAAAAGAATAATATCTATTTTCGTGAACCTAATCATTCCCAATATTAAGGTATACCGTATATTAAAGCTGCTTGAGAATGAACTGGATTTTAATCAATTTATTTTGCTTGTTAAAGTTTTAAGTTTGTCATTTTTATGGTAAAAATAGTTGTATTGTATATCCAAAATAATATAATAGATCTGTTAAATTAATGATTAATCAATGTTTTATACACAATATCAGATTGGTATTTTTTTTTTTTTGTAAACTTATATCATCAAAAATAATTTATTTATTTATCATTTATCATTTTACTTGTATTTGCAATTTTATAGAATACAATGCCAGATAAACATAAAATATATCTTTTATTTATTTTTAATTAAATATTAATTTTTTTCAAAATTTATTTTAAAATTAATAGTTAAAAATTTTTAAATTATTATTTTTTTATATAAAAAAATTTTTTTTTCTTAAATAGATTATTATTGGTTTAATTTATTATTAAAATAAAATAAAACTTTGATCAATTAAAATAAAAAATATATATTTGTTTATTTAAAGATACTGTTACTAAAATTTTTGAAAATTTTATTAACTTTAGATAGATACTATCATATTGTCACGGGTCAGGGGTCTATTAGCAGTAACGGCAAAATCCTAGACTTCGCGACACTTCGACAGAGGTATTTGTTATAACAGGGGGGGGATTAAAGGCAGAAAGAGGCGTAGATTTGACGAGTTTGTGTGATTTAGAGGGATTTTTATTGGTCAGAACAGTGCGATAAGTAGGTCGATTTTAACACTTCTTTTTATTGATTAATCGTTCCGCTC